AGTAGCTAAGCTCCCAAGTCTTGTGCAATGTCATTGCTATAGAGGTAATTGAATTAATTATGGTTAAGTTTGTTGACTTAATTTTGTTGTGTAAAAATATAATCCTTGAGATTATATTTTGTGCACAGGTTGGGAACTATTAGGATAGTAATGTAAGCGTGTAGTAGATTTATAAGAGCAATGGAAGTGGGTGATAGATTTAAAGTCACGGAAGTGATGAAAGCTTCATGTCTCTAGTTCGTTGGTTGGTATTTTGTTCAAGTGATGTGTGCTTTCATTAACTATAAAATATCATGCTACATATACATTACTATGTTATAGTTTTTTTTTTTTTTTTTTGCGTAGTGATGTAATTTGCTCATATTCATTATTGAAAACCCTTCAATTATTCATTATGTTCTTCTTCCATGGCTTTTTGTGAGTTAGCTAATAATTATATAAAAATAAAATACAATTTTCATATTTATTTGTAGATTGAGAAAGAGGATATTGTTGGTTTGCTAGCGTGTAACCAACAATATTATTTTTTATTCAATTATTAAAAAAACAATGACGGACAATCGCATTAAAAGCATACATTTCATGACGCACATACGATGACGCGCATACAATGACGCACATACGATGATGGACAACGACCTTCATTAAAGACCGCTCGTCATTAAAATGAAACAATGACACTCGTAAAGATGTCGATGATTGCCCGTCATGGTTACCTTTTCATGATGGACATTGCCCGTCGTCCGTCATTGAAAAGAAACAATGACAATCGAATAGATGACGGTCACTTGACCGTCATCGTTTCCATTCAATCACGGGCAATGCCTATTATTAAAAGTCAAATTTTGTTGTAGTGCAAGAAAATTGACACTATTTTTATAGTGGGAGGCGAGATAGGTGTTTTGTCAGTAAACAGGAGATTGGTGGGATAAAATGGAGCCAAAATACATAAATCACTAAACCGTTTTTTCTTGTTGGTTAAGTTTGTGACCTTATATATGTAATGACCCCAAATTTTATATGTCATTAATAATATAATATTGAGATAATTACTCATAAAACATAATTTCATTAAAATAAAATAAGATAAAAACTTGTATTTTCATCTAAAAATGAAAACGATAACTTAATAAAACTTAACTTATAAATCTTTAGCAGCGGAAATCACAAAGTTATTATCCTTAAATAAAACAAGTAAAAATGTGGTATAGTCATAATTAAAAGTATAGATTATAAATAAAATTCAACTGTGTCTCATATCTCCTCCTCGTCAATGCCCAGGTCATCATCGACGTTATTCTCGTCAAATATGTAACTATCTGTAAAAAAATTGAAACAACATGGTATAAGTATAAAAAAAATTATACCCATTAAGTAGTTCCCATCATAAGGAACCTTTCATGCTAAAACACACACATCATGCTTATATGCATGCATATCTCAACCTAACATATAAACCAACGAATAACTTAACATACTCGTGCTTGCTAGCATAAACTTATATATCTAAATCCTTAATTTGGCGCCATGCTATACAGAAATACCCCATACCATACCGTCAATTCTGCATGTAATATTTATAGGGTAATTACCCCCCATAAATACCATTAACATGAACTAATTTGTTTCCTAGGGCCCAACCTTTAGCAGAAACCATACATGTCATATCATACATCTAGCTGCATAACATAACTGCTTAATTTGGGTATTTCATGCATAACATTAATCTTACCTAAATCCATGACACATAAGATTACTAACTTCACTACGAATGCAATGCATCACATATTATGTCATGTTTTACCTAAACATGATTTGCTATTAAACATACTTAAAATGACATGAGAAAGCCATAGAATTATAACATGTTTTGTAATACATAAAATTTAACCACCGTCACCATTCAATAACAAAATATATGTAAGCAATATGAATAACATAATTCAATAACAAAACAATGCAACACATAACATAATTCACTTACAATCAAACAATAATACAACAAAACATACAAGGTGGTAACTTATGATAGAATCCACTTACCTGAACTTCGCAAACTAAAAGAAATTCTTTAAAGCTTCCTAATAACAATTAACCCAACTAAAATTAGGACTCAATTACCTAAACTAAACTTTCTCCAATAAGTTCTCGTAACTAGATATGGTCACTATTCTTCTAGTAGAAATCCCTTAATAATTAACCTAGTCCATAATAATCATAAAATATATATATAAATTTGTGAAAAGTAATATTAAATCTTCATATTAGCCTCTGATTTATATACTATAATATCGATAAAAATAATTTACTGATTTTGCAAATTTACAAAAAAAAAATAGAGAAAACACGTAGCACTAGTTTTCACAATTTTAAACCGTAGGTAAAACTAATCATAAAAATTAATTTTAATGCATTCAAATACATTTTAGGTTAGTTTAAAGGTGCTGGTCATGGTCTCAAAAATTCAGAATTAACAATCCAAAATTTGATACTAAACAAGCTAAAACTATGAAAATAACATAAACCGTTAAAAACCGTTATGAAGCAATTTTATGAACATTTTTAGGACCTTTTAAATTCAGATTTTCAGATCTCAAATCAACAAAAATAAGGCGTAAACAGTACCTATTTTATCTTAATAATGAACCCTTAAAATAATTTACACAAGGAAGAATGATGCTTACCGTTGGTGCGTTTTCCTCTCTACCGTAAAGAATAAAAAGAGAAAATTTCCAGCAACTAAGAGAGCTTGAAATGATGATGGAAACCTTAGAAAATGGATATGAACATGCTTAGGTTCTATAAAAATTATTAGGAAAAATCTACTTACAAAACTAGACTAAAAGAAACCGTTCTTACCGAAAAGACAAAACCATAATGAACGATCCTTGAAGGGACTTGGAAAAGCAACCAAAACTCCTCTAAGGTGTGATTTAAAACATAGGATAGATGATTGAGAGGAAATTTTCAGATTTGTTTAGAAATGTTCTTGGAGGAAAATGAATGAAACAAACATAGATAACTTAAGGAGAATGACTTGGAAAATGAAACAAACATGAATCTTGGAAGATGGAACAAACTTCTTCTCTCTCCTCATGCATGGCCAATTACTTAATGGGATTGTTAGTGTTTTTTGGTCTTCCTAACTAACTTAATTACTACATGTGTCTCTTGGGTGGAAGGTGGGTTATATTGCCTAATCATGGTTAGTGGAAGGTGAGTTATATTGCCTAATCATGGTTATGAGTTAAATAAAACTTTCTATATTACCCTAATTAAGTTAATTTAATTAATGTAGAAAAATAAAGAGTAAAATAAAGGTAATATGGGGCTTTACTTGGTTAATTACCTTAAAATAAAACTTTGGATAAAATGTATGAAACTTTATAAATACTCAAATAATGCTACCATTACAATTACCATATTTCGCAATATTTATCTAACTACTAAAGTAGTATTGTTAATTTTGTTACTTAAATACAATTATAATCTCGCTAATCTTATTAATCTCTTATGCATATTTATTTTTTATTAACATACATAATTAATTAAACATTGATAAGATGAATCACTAAATTTTGTTGTAAATTTCTTTTTAATAAGTAAATAAAATTAACTTGAGCTTAATTAGTTAGAGTATTAGAAGCCTACAATTATTAACTAGGATTTGATTAAAGTGTATTGGCATAAAGCTAATTAGATTTGACTAGCTTACCTAAAAAAACAATAATAATATAAAGTCTTGAAAATACCCTTATAGGTAATGCGGGCATTACAATATATGTATATGGAGTTTTCTTTATTTTTTACCTAGTCGAGAATTGAAGAAACTTTGTGTATTGTCGCACATAATTTTGAGGACAGCTTAGAGGAATAAAAATTAAATGGTGGCAGTAGTTTTTTAGTAGAGAAGAAAAAGTAGAAAAAGGGTTTGTAGAGAGCATTGTGGGCAGCCCGTTCTCGTGAGGTTATTGAGATTTTTATTTTGTATTCCTAAGTAGCTATTGTTGTAGTGCTATTTGTGAGGTCCATTGTATTATCGCAAATATATATAGAACACGAGTGTAGTGAAAGATTGGACGTAGTCTGTAGTTGGGTGAATCAGTATAAATCTTGTGTCATTCATGTACTTCCTTTTATTTTTTATTGTATAGTTTACTGAGATTCACTGAATAACTACGGGGAAGAAAGGGTTTCTAATTAGTGTGCATAGTAACCGGCAGTAATTTTCCCAGTAACAGGCGGTAATTTTCCCAACAAAAAGTCAGTCCGTGAGAAACTCTTATATTTTACCACTCTGAATGCAAATTTAACAATGGAGAGAACTTAAAAGTGGACTTTTACTAAATAAGTACAAGGGTATTTCAAGAAATTTATTGTTCCTCTCTTTTATTCGCTTTATTATTTCGTCCTCCTGTAATATATGAAATTTAGAACTCATAACTCTAATATTTTACCGAACAATCCTAATCCCATGCAAATTTTAACCATGTAGGCAAACTCAAAGTTGACATTTCACCAAATAAATACAAGGGTAAAAACGGATATTTCAAGAAAGTGATTTTTATTATTTTTATTTTTTGCCTTGTTCTTTGTTTCACTGATCTTGCACTATATGAAATTTAAGACACAATTCTCTAACATTTTTACATAACAATCCTAATCCCAAGTAAATTTTTACCATGGAGCAAACGTAAAGTTGACTTTCACCAAATAAGTACAAGGGTAATGACGAAAAATTTCAGTAAAAACATAGTGCAAACGTATTTACAAAATTTGATAAGATTTGAAAAAAAAAAAAAAAGCATATTGTGGAAGCTGAACTCTTCAAAATGTAGAAGCTAAGGCCCTTTGTAAAATTCTATGTATAGAAAACTAGAAATTAACTAAATAAAGGTATTGAAACTGAGGATGTTTGTTATGAAGGAATGGAAGGCAGCAAAAGCTTAGCCATCCCTTCTCCAAATCCTTCTCTTCTTCTCCCCATTAAAGCCCTCGCCAGCTTCTCTGCCCTCACTCGGTCGGGCTGGCTGTGTCCTTCTTCCCATTCTCACACAAAAACCAATTCACGACTCGCCGTCCTCCCGTCCCCGACCCCGGCCCCTCTCGTATGCGGCTGGCGGGTCGTCACTTTGCCGCCACCGCCACCCTCCTTTTCTTCCTATAACACTAGTTCACAATGGACAGGAGAACCTTGCAAAGGATGCATTCGACGCTATCGTCGTCACCATCGTGCCCATCGTTACGCGAATCGGAGGACGAGCTGAAGCACATGGCATTGGCACCACCGCGCCTGAAGAACAAGAAGCGTCTATCGAAGCAGCTCTCCATGTGCGAGACGCCTCGCGACCTCGCGTGGGAGAAGCGACGACGGCAGATGCTCCGACCAGAACGCAAAAGGAACGGTGTGACCGATAGGGACGACCTGACGGACGAGGATTGGAACGAGCTGAAAGGATGCATTGAGCTAGGGTTTGCGTTCAATGAGGAAGATGGCGCGCACAAGCTGTGTGGGACGTTGCCGGCACTCGACCTCTACTTTGCGGTTAACAGACAGCTTTCACCGAGCCCGGTGTCGACACCGCAGAGCAGCGCCTCGACGTCGTCTCTCGGCGGAAGGTCTTCATCATTTGAGAGCCCTAAGAGTGATTCTGATACATGGAGGGTTTGCAGCCCAGGTAAGAAGATAACTTCTAAACATCTTCCTTTGAAATTTATCCCTTTTATTTAGGAGATCAAATTATTGAACCCTACTCTCTGTCTTTAGTTTTTTATCTCTTGAAAATCAAGATTATATATGATAAACTGTACGTGCATATATATGTAGTTTCTCACCATTAAAATTTAAAAGACAAGAACAAGTTTTTGAAAATTACGTTTTGTTATTTATTATTATTATTTTTTTAAACTTAACGATTTTTTTATTTTTTTGACCAGAAACTTAAAAGGTTTTGATAGAGAATAAACATAATTTTCCAAAACAGAAATTAAATGTTTGAATGATTTTTTGTTCTTTTTTTTGGAGATTCAAATAAAATAAATAAAGAAGTGTCTCAACGTTCAAGTTTGAAATAGCCATTTATTTTTTCATTTTCTTTTAACATTGAAACGATATATTTGGCTATTTTTTCAAGTTAAACGGAATTCGACTTCCAATCTTTTGGTCCATAATATATATCACAACTTTTATACTTTTTTTTAGTACCATGTGTGGGAGTGGGAGATTGAACCTACAACAGTAATATATGTCAATTACGCTGAGTTAGGGTCGCTTTAGTCCCTCGACTTTTATATTTAGCCTTTGCAATATTTTAATCTTGGTAATTAAGTTCCTTTATAAATGTCTAGTTTTTGTAATTTTAGAATGTATATATTAAATCGTTCTTTAAAAATTCCATATAATTCTCATTAAGAATCAACCTAAATTCTATACCATCAAGTAGAACAAACTTCCATGGACAAATCTCAGACGTAGCTAGTGATCTAAAGTATAATATGTACTCATTAATTCCAACTCAAAAAACAATATTATGTTATTATTTCATATAGCTCTCGAGTACAATAGTATTTTTAGTTTAGGTATTCATCATTACAATTATGAAAATAAAACAAATCCGAATAATGTTATCAATAAATATTGAAAGAACAATCTTCCAAAATGGAAGGATACTAAAAACGTGTGTTTTTTTACATGCTTTAAATTTCATGTAAATACTAACATGAACGATTAAAGTATATACTCATTCTTATGAGATTAGAGGTTCGAACTACCCTACTTAAAAGTTCCCCGTAAACAAAGTAGAATTTTTTTTTGTTTTTTAAGTTGTATCTCTAGTAGTAGTTTCAATTCATGCCCGCATGAGTACCTAGTGCTTGATCAACAACACAATGATGGGAAGAACCAATATTTATTTTTTAATTCCGAAAATTAAAATATATATTTTCAAAGTTCAATACCAAAATAGAATAAACCTAAAAATTCAGATTTTAACTTATTCATTTAAAATACATATATTTTTATACTTACTGTTTTTTTTAAATCATAAATATATATATATATATATATATATATATATTTTAATGAACCCACTTTTTCTTTTCTTTGAATGCAGGTGAAGACCCAAAGCAAGTGAAGGCAAAACTAAGACATTGGGCTCAAGCTGTGGCATGTTCAGTAATGCAATCCTTGGGAGAAAAATAAGGAAAATTTGTGGGGAAATATGTTGTACAGATCAGAGGAAAAATAAAATTAAAAAAAATGAAAAAAAGAAGCAGAAGGGGTTTGATTTCAAACCCTCAAACTTAGGGTTTGGTGCTGCTTAAGCATAAATTAATTCTACAATGCTCTTGTAGTTTTAAAAACAAGAATTTTAATCTCTCTGGTTTGGAGCTAGCTTCCTTATATATATATTTGAGGGCCAAAGGAAAAGAAGCCAGAGGCATTGATGGGAACTTTGGTATATAATTAATTTAGGGAAAAGAAAATGTTCTTTTCATTATTATTCAATGCTGTTGTAATTCTATATTTTTCTTTTTTGTTCTTATATATTGTTAATATATGAATTGTGGACACACATTCAATTATATGTATGTAAGCAAAGTGTACAATTTCATCCATTGATTCAATCTGTTTCTTCTTCTTTTTTTTTCTTTTTTTTAATAAGGAATTAAAGATGGATCGACATTGTTACGTACATTTTAATGTGTCAAACAATTAATACCACTATACTGTCAGCAGGATGGGTCCAGCACATCAACAACAAAATCTCACCAAAATCTTCATAATAACAGCAACGACTCTTTTTTGACAGCTCGTCACAACCATTTTCCCTCT